CATGGAGGTTCACAAAGTGCTGTGCCTGACATGAAATCTGCACCTGGAGGTTCACAAAGTACTGTGCCTGCCACGAAATCTGCACCTGGAGGTTCACAGAGTGCTGTGCCTGACGCGAAATCACATGGAGGTTCACAAAGTGCTGCGCCTGCCACGAAATCTGCACATGGAGGTTCACAAAGTGCTGCGCCTGCTACGAAATCTGCACTTCAAGACAAGTGAAAACCTAATCACAATGGACGGCCGACCGAGCATGACCCGAGACCGTCTCGCAACAGTCGTTCCGCAGAGCTAGACTTGCCAGGTTCGAAGCCACCGGTTCTATTGAAAAATACAGCATTTCGTGCGTCCGCTATCTCTCGAAAACGCATTTTGTATTGCACCTGCCACGAAATCTGCACATGGAGGTTCACAAATTGCTGCACCTGCCACGAAATCTGATGAGTGGTGTATGATGAGTGGTGGTTGAACAGCTGTTGAATGTCCGTAACACGGAAGTTCCTTCTAAACTTCCTTTGATAATAGTATGTATATATATATACATATCAAGTATCAGTATATATATATATACGTATACACCCAGATCAAGCAGCAGCCTGAAACATATTCCAGTGGATGCTTCATCAAAATGTTGGTCCAAAAGTGATTTTTCTTTTATATCCCTGTCCAAAGAGCAAGTCTCAGCAGAACATGAACATTACACTCGGTTTGTGTTTGTGACTGTGTTTGTGTGCAAGTCAGCTATTGCACAGATTTACCTGGAACCGCCAAACGCCGTAATTGAACATAGAGCCGTTTGCAGGAGAATCCATTTACACACTTTAAGTTTGGTTCCTCACATGTTCAGTCATTTTATAAACGCATGTTCCAGATCAACAGGACTTTAGCCTTTTCCATAATGTATGGCTTTGCCATGATCCTGTGATCCTCTTCAGCACTCAGGACTTTGTTTTACCCTTGCGGTGGAGGCCGTCAACAGGGATTTGCATATCTCAGGCGGATCCCCAGCTGAAGGCCTACGCCTCTTAGCCGCCATTTGCACCGTCCGCTCCAATAGGGAAAGATCCAACAGGACAAAGGCTGTGTGATCAGAATTGAATCGTGTCCCACATCAGACAATTGAACATTTGACTTGAGAATGAGAGTACTTTCGAATTATTTGGCCACCGTTTGTTACCTTTTTTGTTTCAAAGGAAGCAGACCAGGCAAACATCATCCATTTTTGCTGGAAAATGAAAAGACTGAAATGGACCAACGAAGGAGGCTGTATGGATTCACTGGATCCACTAGGTACCCCCCGGTTCCGAAGCCTCTCTTAGCTCTTTGCAACATTGCACTGTTGCTTAGAGAATTGGAAACGATTTGGGTGGTGCCCGCCACGGTGAGTTCCTACCGATTGTTTGTGAGTCAGCCACACTGATGCAAATTGTCAGCACCCGTTTGGAGGCCATCGCTAGTAGGTTCGAGGCCATCGCTTCTAGGTTGGATGCCATCGCTATTAGGTGGAGGTCTTGAGATCCCTCAAGAAGGTGTTCCGTTGAACGATCTGAGGTAGGTAGCGTCCAGGCAGGTGATCGTGTTGAGAGCATCCTCAGCGAGGCCCCTTGGCAACCAAGCTTGATTTGTCTACTTGGTCTACATTGATATGTACTACACATGTCTACATCCCAAAAACACTTATGTTGTTCTGTGAAGTTCTGTGAATCGGATTGCTTTGGTCTACAACCACTATTCCTTTGAGGTGTCGAGTTCTTCCCGGCTCTTAATGCTTCGAAGCTCTCAGGATCTAAGCCTCCGATGTGCGATGCCAATGGATGGGGATATAGGTAGTTTATGATCATTTATGTAAGTGCTCCGTAGCTACAGGTCATTTGACCTATCTCGCAGGCCTTCATTGTCAGGCAGTTCAGGTTCGTCAGCTACCCACTGAGTAAAGTCCTTGCTCTGCACTTAAACCAGATCAGATGTGCAATGCTTCTTTGCAAGTATAATGGGATTGATTGATGTTCAACCAACTGCCAACATGCATTTACCAACTTCCCAAGGTGGATTGTGAGGTAGACAAAGCGGCATGTTGAAAGATAAGGGGGTTGTGAAGCATGGGAATTGCAAAGTTGAATATCAGTGTTTTTCCATGTCAAGTTCTGTAAAGAAGAAGAAGAAGCAGAAGGGATATTGCTGGTGTCGGTCTTTCCAATATACCGCAGGCTCTTTGATCCACTGAGAAGAGTGTTCCTTCGCACATAGCGCTAATTTCCTGCTCCATATGGGCCAGGCTTGGCATGAGCGCCCCTTGGGAGGGTGTTGGCCACCTGTTTGGAAGCTTCTTCAGCTTTCCCCCGCAGCCTATTTTTTCTCAGCAAAGTCGAAAGACTCCCTGCCATGTCTATACCATTGATCCGCTGGGATGTCCTCTTCAGATCGCCATGTTTGGCCTGCAGTGCAGTATCTACTTATCTATCTTCAGGATGATGAGTGGTTCAATCCAATCGGATGGCAAGCAGCTAAATATAGGCCCCAAACACAGAGTGCATCGCACCACATGTAAAAATGCAACAGGGTGCCAAGCGACTAGCACCTATTTTACCGAGAGTCGTCATTCACATGTTTTGTTAGTCCAAAAATGTCATCCATCACTTGGCCCCAACGAGTTCGCCGGCCCAAGGAGTCGTATCAGACTTTGACCAAGCGTTTGGAGAACCTCGCTCCGATGCAACCCTTGTTGATGCCGGTGACCCTGCACCTCTGACTCGAGCCAGGAAGAGAGTAGGTTCTTGTTACTACTAGTAAGGCACTTGCTACTAGTAGCGATGCACTTGTTCCTAATAGCTTCTTGTTACTACTAGCGATGCACCTGTTACTACTAGCGATGCACTTGTTACTACTAGAATATAGGTTGGGGCATAGGATTGGGTAGAGTGTAGATGTTTATCTCCTGAGAAGAAGACACTTCAGGAAGCGCATGCATACTTTAGTTTTATGTGTATAATGAAGTCCTGATTCTGACAGATGATAGATCGATTGATGTATTCTTATAGTCATTTTGAAGGAGCTGAGGTCTACGCGTAACCATCATCCCACAAAGTAATTACCTGAAAGAGGTGCATTGTCAAAAGAGGTAAATTATATACTTTTGGTGGCAGAGACCTGACGAGACATGTGTCCGTGCAATCTACGTTTAGGCGGTACTTTCCTGCTGCACCAGTTGGGACACCTGACATGCCGTTTCGTGATGTTTGGTGGCAACATAAGCGTATCCATGAACACTTTTCTTCACCGACTTGTGCTTAGTAGAATTGATATATGAACACATATGCATACAAAGTACCTGGGGACTCTGTAATTCATAGTATAGGAGGAGGTGGTGGTGGTGGTCGTGGTGTATTGGCTGGGGACTTTGCACTGATTACAATGGAATGGACCCTACTGGGCAGGAGCATGACAAACTCAGGCAGAGTGGTCACATACCTCTATCGGCCGAGATGCTTTTGGTGCGTGCCTGGGCGGGGAGGTTACGATTCACAGTGCCTGTGCGGTGGGCAGTTCCGTCCAAAGCACGAGATTCAGATCCTGGCGTGATAGCAGTCCACGGTGTTAATGGACGAAACCCTGCACCATGAACAATCTGAACTGAAAACCAGGTGATGATTCGGGTCAAACTATCCAACAGGACCACCAACGTCATGCAATTTACAGCCCGTTGCGTATGTGTAGGCTTTGAAGGCCTAGTCAAATACTAATCTCTGTCATATGCATTGGGTGTTCTGGCAAGAATTTGTTTCTCTTTGCTCATGTCAGTGTACACCACAGGGGTGTGTTTCTCTAGACAGGTTAGACAGGCGGAGGTTTGCTGGTCAATGAGGCATAGAAGCACCGAACACAGGGCATCCTTTGGGGATGGCTTTCAAACAGATTATGAGAAACCAGAACCGAGCACGACAGCACTTGGCTCACATGCTGCATAGATCTCAGGTCACCTGTCCATGTGAACATTCCTTGATGTGTTCATTTTTGGAAAATCCCAATGAGGGGTTGACAGGGTGAACACTGGCTCACAATTGCCGCGGCTGGTCTGAGGCTGCCAACATGTGGACGATTCGTCGAAGTATTTGGCATCTCGGCTGGTGCGAGTTCACTTATAGGAGGATTAGACGGGGCTGGGAAGCGAGTTTGTGGTCAAGTGTGTATGTATGATGATATGAAAAAAACATATAATGTCATATCATGTAATGTAATGTAATGTCATGCGTGTTGTTGTGAGTTTGTTTCTACTGTGTACAGGGGCATGGCCCGATCCTGGGTTTTCGTGGAATCAATGTGATGGCGAGTACCTGGTTTCACCTGTTGCCTCATCCAGTAAAGACATGCCTTGTGGCAGCTATATAGCTAGAACAATGTCGGCGAGATGAGGTGGAACCACAAATCCGATCCTTTCAGATTTGGTTTACTTTTGCATGTTTCGGGCAAGATGAACTAGAACCTGAGGTGTCCACCCATGCTTATTACATGTATATACCCATGTTGAGGGCTTGCCACAACAAGCACGTGTTCTTCCCAAACATCATTTGCACGCCAGAATCGCAACGTTTCAAAAGTTAAAAGAGCTGGACACCGAATATATCAGCCACTGGTCCACCAAGAAGATACGCGAAAACTAATACGGATGTCCAAGCCATGAAGATTGTGGGAAAAATGATTCCAACGGCTCGTGTGTAGGATGTGTAGTACCATGTTTTCCAGGGTGCACAGTTTTGAAAGTGAACATTCTCCAAAACCATCCAAAACCCAGCTATGTCCCTTGTGGTGTGTTTCCCTCGTCTCAGGTGGGAGTCCGCGTGAACCAGGAGCAGCCGGCGGGTCGGAGCTCATGCAAGCAATGTGGCTACCCAGTCGAAAGATGGAGAAGACACGAAGTGGGAGACCTTCCGAGATTTATATAATGGGGCGGATGCTTGTCATACTATTACTATCAACAGGGTGGAGTGAGGTCATGTGTGGTTGCTTGCACTTTCGGAAATCTTTGGTCTAGGATGCATGTCCCGATGTTCCACAAAATGAGGGGATGCTGTGTTTTTGGACACTAGTAGCGTCCTTGTTCCTAGTAGCTGCCAGGAGCTACTAGTAGCTTCCTCCTACTAGTAGCGATGCCCTATGTTACTAGTAGCGTCTGTCCTTGACCTGCAGAATCCCCAACATGACATTCCGTGGTCCGTGCCGAAACAAGATTGTCCTCACCAAATCCCTTGAGATCATGGACATCCAGATGTCGAGATTTTCCAGCGTGCAGAGAGCTGGCAATGCACTGACGCATGTGGGATGTCTTCAATCTGGTTTTTCTGGACCTGTGGCCCAAGGCCCTCGGCCTTCAGAATTGGGGTGGAGTTTAGCAACACCCACTGGGCCGGGTGGAACAGAGTAGCTCCCCATTGACCCACATTCCAAAATGCTATGTAAGTCGACCCAGCATATTTGCAGGAGATTGCACCTCCTGATGCTTTAGCCTCTCGGCACCAAACCTTTGTTTCAAAACTCCCGATTGCTAACAACACATCCTGACCCTGCTTAGTAGGAGACTAAGCTTTCGGGGTCCACTTTCTGTTGTCTCCCAAGCGCACCAAACAGGATTCTCAATTCTACCCCACTGGAAATGACATGATGTTCTTGGGCAGTTTATCCCATAGCGCTTTCTCTTCCGGTCTCGAGCATTTGTGTCAATTCCGTCATGTTCAAATAACTTCCAGTGATTGAGCGAGTCTACTTCACCATGGATTTGTTGGCTAAGCCTCCGACGTACCAGGTTGATTCCGGCAGGGCCGGGGAGTGGAAGTCTACATATTGATACCTAGGAACTGTTGTCTTCGGCGGAAAGCGGTGAGAACCACTACCAGTTCGCTGGAAACCACTACTTTGTCGATGCTTTTCGTTGGCAATATTTGCTTTTATTTATTGTATCTAGAAATTATCTTAGACTTTTGGAAACGTTTGCGTAGAAATCTCTACCTATATATATATATACATGTTGTGGACTTTAGGCGATACCTTTCTGTACAAAGGCTCGACTTTTGGGTACCTTTCTGTTCAAGCCCTCGCAGCTCTGGCCGGCCCTGGCAGTGCGTTCTGATTCCTTTAATTGCTTGAATGGGGGTGATCATGGTTGGTCAGTTTGATTGGCGCCTATGAAACAAGGGCTTGCAGGCATTCTGCGGCACGACTCACTATCCCCTTCGTCTAACTGTCCGCAGCCCTAACACTGCGACTTGCATCCTCCGGAATGCCAGGGCGATGCAAACCCCTTTCCTCGCCCGCGCACACACCCACGCCAAAGACTTGTCCACAACTCTTCGTTACTTGGATCTTTGTATCGTTCTTTGACAAAACTAACGGGACATGACAGAGAATTATACCGTTCAATGCTACTTTTGAGATCTTTTGAGGGTCTAAATGCTTCTATTACTTCTATGTTTCTCTACTCCAGCTGCAGATGACTGCGTGTCAAGATAGCAGCAGTTCCAAAGAGGCTGCTCTTGAGATGTTCTTTTTTGACCATAAAATCCCTTCTAGCCCAACCTATCACGGCTGGAAGTCCTGGTTTTTTGCCGGGGGTTCCAGTCCTGCCAGATCCTGTCAGCCTGTGGTTCATGGATGTTCATGGTGAGCTCAATGGAATGTGGAAGCAAACCACCAACGGACCGAGGGCGAAGCACCCCGGCCCGACTTCCATGGGATTCTGCCCTCTGCACCTGATCAGGCTAACACGGGAAGCCAGTCGGACGACGGGTTCGGTGTTGAAGTTTCAGCGAACGATGCATGAACAAGCAGGCACCTTGCTACTAGTAGCTTCTTGTTCCTAGAGGTAATGCCAGGAGGTGTTAGTAGCTTCTTGTTACTACTACTAGTAAGGCACCTTGCTACTAGTAGTGGAAAGACGATGCGAAGAACATTTTGCGGATTGACCAAGGAGACGGAACTGTTGTGGAAACATGTGGAAAATCATGAACTGTTCAGTTCAGAACTGGCGGATTGTTCTTGGTTGATCTCATGCAGTTTTGGGGCAAGAAGTCTTCCATAGTTTGGGAGAATGAGAAACTTGTGGATCGAATGTAGGCACAGTTTTTCCTCAAAACACCTTACACGACTCAGAAAATAGGTTTGAGCGCAAGATTCCGACGTCATCGGGTGGAAAGAATTTTGACAATCCACAGTTTCAAACCGATATTTTAGTTCACATGTGTGGTTCCACAGTCTTTTGTTCTTCGTGAAGATCCTCGCTATCTCCTTGTGCCAATCCCTGAGATTTGGCCGGACAATGTTGTTTCTGGCGAATTCACGTAATTCCCACGTGTATAGTATAGCTAATAGCCATGCTGGACCCCCATTGTCAAGACATGCGTGCCCGAAATCGCTCTATTCTGGATGAGCAGCCACCATCTCAACATATCTCAACACTCTGATGCATCTCCATCTTTTTCTTATGCCTAGGGTTCCCGCAAATCTACTTAAAGCCAACGTTTGTTTTGTTATGCTGTGAGTCCTTTGATGGCACTATTTGGGCTCCGTTGGGTTCCACCGTGGTCTTTGGCTGAAACCATTTCAAAACCACTTGCTTCACATGTTGAGGCCGTGGCCTTTAACCTCACCGAGCTCGTGTTTGCCAGGTCCGAAATTCTCGGGGCATCTTCGAGGCGGACTCGGAGTTTGGGAAGTCGGATGCGGCCTTCACCACGAAGACAGGCGCTGTTCGGCGAAGGCCATGCGATTTGCGATGTGTGTCCCTCATCACAAGGGACCCCATAGTCAGTCAAAAGACCCATCAGAGGGCGGCCCATGCACCACTGGGGTCAGTTGCCCAGATGAAGATCAAGTGGTGCGTTCCCTACAATTATCTGGCACCCAGCTACTGCAAAAAAAGCACACCAATGAATTGGTAGAAGGTTCTGCGATCATCTATATATAAGAAAAAATACCTATAAAGATCTGTAAAGGATTTGAAAATCCAATGCTTGGGTCAATGATGGACAATGTCTTAAACTAGGGATCAACCAGTTATCTGGAAATCCTGGGTCATATTAGCTCAGCTTTTGGTCCTATAGTACTTGGGCTAGTAAGCGGCCGGTTCAAGATCGAAACGGGGAAAGGGGTGCAGATTGGCTGCTCAGGTTTCTAACATGTCAATTCTGCCAGGCCAAATCTTCAATTGCAGCAAGCCAAAGGAGGCATGGCGTGCCTTGGAGGTTTTTTGGGGCAACAAGATTCTCAAGTTGCAGGGCATTTGGAAGACTAGCTTCCTTGTCTATTTACCACGCATTTAGATCACCTTCAGAGCGGAAGATCTACAGGAAGCAGGAAAACCTGCCAAATAGATAGATCTTCCAAGTCGAAGCCATTCCAGTCAGAGTAGATTGGTCTTTGGCAGACCCACATATGCTTCGCGTTTGGATGCTTTTGGGTATTTTGGCTGGTCGATTTCGTGGGCGGAGTGTATTGCAACAACTCAGCAGCGTTGGACTGGCTGGGCTCTGAAAGAAAGAACTGGTCATCTTCCGAGAACACTTTGGTCCCAAAAGGAGATATAATATAACATATAATATCTTTAACAATTACAAACATGAAGTTTGAAACAGATGTTCTATCAGGCTGTTCAATGCTTTTGATCAATCTCAATCAGAAAATCCCCGCCAACATCGCAACATCGCATCTCTGCGGAGCAGCAAGCTCTGTTCAATCACATACTTTTGCTGATTCTGCTGAGAGACAGTTCCTTTGTCAGCTTCAGACTTGCCGATCCATGTTTGTTGATGATGTTGTCTTTGCTTCCATGACGAAATCGGTCTACTCCCCATCAACTCCGGTCCGGGGATTTGTCCCCGTGTGTGTTGTTTCTTGTTCATGGGGAGATGTGTTTCAGAAATTAGGACCTAATGTTAATATATTTTTTGTTCCAAGCTTTGCGGTACAAGTCCATTCCACATTCATTTGGCATTTGGGGAGCTCTCATTGGAGCCATGACACCTCCCGGGGACCATGGCTGAGGCAACATCCTTCAACTTGGCCGGAAGGAGCACTGGCTTGTGCCTGCGGAGAATCTTTCTGTGCAGCCACGGCGGATTCTGGGCTCAGGCATGGTCACAGGGGGGAAGTGGAGACAGTGATACCCAGTTTTTGGTGGTAGGCGTAGTATAATGAGTTGATAGAGTGTCATGAGCTTGAAGTGCTGATAGTTGTCCTGTATGTGAGTGTGTCTCTCGTTGTAAGTTGTAAGTACTGTGCACTATGGTTTGCTCCAGAAGAGTATTCTTGGTCTTAGCATCCTCATTCTATTAAAAGTAATTTGCCAAGTGGGAAACTTGGCAATGACCACCGCTCCATTTTGAGAGTGTAAGACCGTGGTTGAGGAGTGGTTGCCTGAACCTACCGTCGGAAAGAATACCGCTGAGATCATCAATCTCCCAATGGCCGGGGTGATGAGGAAAAGCACCTCCCTGTCACTAGCGCTCAGTCCAAGGCTCAAGGGCAAGCTCCAAAGTGCTGAACGTCCAACATGAAGAGGAATCAAGGAATCAATCACCCCAGACAAGTTGTAACACTGCAAGGATATAGGGCAAGCCCGCGATGGAAAAGCTGCACTTCAGGAACTTCAGGGAAAGAAAGCTTCTTGTTCCTAGTAGCTTCTTGTTACTAGTAGTAATGGCCTCCAACCTAATAGCGATGGCCTCCACCTAGTAGTTTCTTGTTAGTAGTCCCAAGTTGCTGGAGGTCGAAGAAGTGAAAAGTGCGCCCGGTGACTGACAATGTGGTCGGACAAAAGTGAGAAGGACAAGGTTTTTTTGTCTCGAAGGCTCCGGGGTCTTTCAACATACCTTTGGAAAAGAATTGACAACATTTACTTATAGTTGTTTAAATTTGACGTACATATTTTTTTTTTTTTTTTGCTCGTCTCTTTTCCTGAGCTGCAAGTCAGCGGAACATGGCACGAAGATCTTTTGACTTCGGCCTTTGACAGGGTTGTCTGAGCTTCGCCGTGACCTCGAAGGTGTCGCCATTGAGCTTGGTCCGCAAATTGCAGAGCCGACATGTGGCCTGTGTGCCGGTGCGCATCATTTCATGCGATGCGTGCCCTTGCCAATCAGCAGGATCAAGGAGACCATGGTGGCATGGTGAGCCTAAGAACCGGTGGAACTGTTCCTCTCCCGCCCTGGCAAGGATGTAGCTCCGGCAAACTTGGCACCGCAAGTATGCTTTGTCAAGCCGAAGATGATGTTGGCCCGGAATGGGTTCCTGCTGCATGTCCAGGATCTCGTGAATGACTTCAAAACGAGTCTTCTTGTGCTCCTTGCCGACGATGGCTTGAGAGCAGGGTGTGTGAAGGCCCTCCTGAATCTCTTTCAAGAGAGATTTGGCATGAAGTCTCGTGCGACAGAGGGTGCATTGAACACCTGATCGGAAATTTGTCCACTGATGTCCCTGCCGCGTGGGCTCTTCAAGGTACTTGGCCAGGAGGTCCCTCTTTTGCTGAATGAGAGGGATTTTGGGCGGGCTGTCTGACGTGCCCGCCGTGCCTTTGGCATGCAGGAAATGGGATTTGTCCCTGAGGAGAATGTCCATTCTATTTGCTGCCACAAACAAAACATCCCGAGTGTCCTCGTCGACATGGCGTTGAAGGTCCAAAATCTCCTCTGGCTTAGCCAAAATGGCAGCCTGGGTGGCCTTAGCTTGTGTGTCTTTTTGGAAGAGCTTGCGATTGTGGCTCTGTGCCAAGTCCTTGTCACTGAGGAGCAAAAGCCGAACTTGATCATAGTCTTCCTGCTCCAAACCTTGACATAGGTCCGGAAATTGCTCAAAGGCAGCCATCCAGGACCACAATTTCCAGGTGGACAGTTGAAAGATGGCATTTGGACTTTGTCATTGATGTGCAATGAGAGGTGCTTGAGGGCGTAAAAGAAGGCCCTTTGCCTGGAGGCCTTGCCCGGACAGATGCCCGTGATGGAGCCGACCCTTTCTTTGGTGTTGACGTTGTGGATGCAGATTGCGAAGACAAACCGTCTATGACGTGGGTCTCGACACGTGGGAGCAATGGCCACCGAGAAAGCCTGCCCTGCTGTCACTGGCAGTGTTTCGAGATCCGTCCAGAGACCTTCGCCAGTGAAGGTGGCCATGCCACCATCAGGGAGGTAGAAGAGACTCTGTGTCATGCCGCGATTCCACAATTCGGGATCAGTGCCTGCCTGCAGCCTTTCATGCCATTGTGCTGGTATGTCTTTGACTCGTCCCTTCCAAAAGCTGCATTGCCAAAGAAGATAAATCTTCTCCACAAAGGGGACAGGAGCCCTCTTGCCCATGTAATGTGCCCTGATGAAAGGCCCGCAAGGCGATGCATTGCCTTTCTGTGCAAAGCTTGTTCATTGTGCTGCTGACAGTCCAATCCAATGGCCTTTCTAGGTCGTGGCAACCCGTGTAGCGGGTTAAGCGCAGGAGACGCTGCCACCGAAACTCCTCAATGAGCTTGTGATGGATGGCCGGCCATGTGTCTTCCAGCTGCAGCTCACAGTCGGGAATGCCACCATAACCGGTGCGCTTCCAGTTCCTCCCTGCAGAGATGTCAAAGTCATAGTCAAGAAGATAAGCTTGAAGCGCCTGCATGGGGCCAGTGACCACTTGCCATCTGTACTTGGCAGAGTTCCAACTGATCCAAAAGAGGTGCTGGGCGCTTTCGTCAAAGGCATGGTAGACCTTCCACACCGTGTGGACATGTTGCAGGATGATGGAATCTCCAGGGTCCACCTTGTTGGGGTTCATGTCAAAGACGACGTCTACCGAGCCTGACTTTTGGAGTTTCAGCCCTCGTGCTGCCATCACTCGGATCTGTTGCCGTCTTTGAGGAGCAAGCCCATTTGCCTGTGAGCCCCAAGTCATCACGGGGTGTATGGCTCCTCGATGAAGACGATATTTGATGCTCGGATTGAGCTTCAGGCGATGCATGATGCCGGCTCTGCCACGGCCTTTGATGAATCGCTTCTTGATCTGCTGGACTCGTCTCCGACGAGAGTTGGTGGCATCAATGCCCAAGTCACGCAAGACATTGTAGTGCTTGGGGTCTGAATCTTGAAGATTGGCGTCAAGGGCTTTGGCCACCTCTTTGCTGCTGGAAATGAAGCCGGTCTTGTCTGAGTTGATCTTGAGGCCAGCAGCTTCCACATGCTTCTTGAGGGTTCTGAAGGCCAGGACCGCTTCACGTGCCACATAGGAGGCGTCGGTGCCTTTGATGTCAAAGGAAACATCATCGACCCAAGTTTGCAGCTGAACCGCCGGATGATCTTGGATCAAGGCACGCAAAGGCTTGTAAAGCACGAGCTTGGCGATGGCCGGAGCTTGCGGGCAGCCTTGAAGTATGCCCTTTTGATAATGAAGGGGCTGTCCTGAGATACCTTCGGCTTGTAGTAGGCGAGGACCGGTGTAGAGATCAAGTGCCAGCTTGAGATGCAGTGGAGGGTAGTTCAACTCCATGGCGGGCTCAATGATGTGATCCAAGGTGACGGTGTCATAAAAGCAAGTGAGGTCGGCTAAGCAAGAGACGGTGAAAATGCCCTGGTGCTTGCCAATCTCCGCCTTGAGCATCCTCCCCACAGCAATAGAGAGGCAGTCCCTTTGAGGGCGAGCTTGATCCCATGGCATCTCTTTATCGAGACCAAGTTGCCAATGCTGCAGCTCAAATTTCCGGTAACGATTCCAAAGCCTGTAGAGGCAGGAGGTGAGGGCAATGGGCCTCTCTATGTTCTCGTTCTTGGGGATCAAAACGATGTTGGTGTAGCGAAGTTGAGTGGGAAGCAGAGCTGTTCTTTCCATCTCAGTGAGCAGTTGAGCCAGTCTTTCAACCGCAGGGTACGGAAGATGTCGCAGGAAGTCATAAGAAATCCCGTCTGGCCCTGCCGCTTTGTTTGGCAACCTCTTCATCACTTTGTGGAGAATGACAGTGTCCAAAGGCGCGAAGGTGGCGGCTTGTGCCTGAGCTCGCCTTTGGAGTTCTTGGAGTCCTCGAATGTGCGGAGGCCCCTCGCTGAGTTGCCAAAGAGCTCCCCATTGCTGTTCTCGTGCAGCGAGTCTTTGTGTGGGCGCCACATCTTGAAAGGGTCTTTGCCACGCATGATCCTTTTGTCGGAGACTGCGGAAGAGTCCTCGAAGTCCCTTCTCGTGAGCCTTCTCCAGCCATTCGCGAAATTCATGGTTGGTGGAGCTGAGAAGCTGCTGCTGGGCCAGGTGTTGTTCGTGCTGGATGGTCTGACGCAGTTGACTGAGGTCAGACTCAGGGTGGTGTAGCCAGTGCCAAAGGTGGTCACAGAAACCTGCTTGGTCCATTTCTTGAGAAGCATGTTGAGGGACCAGCGTGATCATGGCTGCCAAATCTTGGTGTACCTGTGGATGAGGGCCATGCGTGAGGACGTTGAGCCTCACCGCCATTTGCTCCCAAAAGGCCATGCTGCCCTTCTTCCAAATGCGAGGCTTGCTGGCATCCATGAGAGGGGTGTGGCGAAAGGTGATCTGTGAACCTCTTCCGGTAGTGGGTCGATGCAGGAGTTGAGTGAGGTACTTCTCTGTGCGAGTGGCCCATCTTGCCAGGTCAGAGCCCAGCCCACTGATGACCTCGCCGAGCATCTCAAAAGGGCCGTCAGATTCCTCAAAAGTGGTCCAGTTGCTCGGCATCTGAGCAGGTTTGGCAATCGGAGGAAAACGCTGAAGTTGCTGAACTGGTAGTGCCGCCCACTCACAGTGGAATTTGACATCCAAAGCACAATGAGGCTTCCAAGGCACTTCCCAATTATGGTGCAGCTGCAAGGCACTGTAGATGGACGTAGAGGCCAGGAGGAAGTCAATGTGACTGCCCTGCAGTGTGGTGGCCTGATCGAGGGCCAAGATCTGAGCGCGGAACTTGCTGGGGATGATGGTGGCGGCAAGTTCTTCCGGACTGTTTTGCCAATCTCCTCCAATCACAAAGGGAGAGTGAAGATGACTGAGAAATTGAAGCAAATGTCCCAGAAGCTCCGCATTGAGTGGAGATTGGAAGTTTTCGCCGGTCTTGAGGTAGATCTGGATCAGAAAGAAATCTCCCCCTTGTCGTTCCATCCTCAAAGCTGTCCAACCATTGCCCTGCTGAGTGTAGGTGTGGACGTGATGGATGAGATGCTTGGCTGAATGAACGGTGAGGAAACCCCCAGTAGTGCCTCCTTGACCGGTGGGTTCTGCAGGGACTCCATGACACTTCCATCCTCTGAGGGTGAGGTACTGCATGACCTCATCAAGGGCCTTCCGTGAAAGGTGGGTCTCCTGAAAGAGCATGATGCTGTCTCCCTGATGCCACAGCCAGTCCTGGACTTTGCGACCGAACGTGGTGACATTGCTGAAGATGATGTGCAAGGAGTCTTGCGACTGGCGCTGTTTCTTAGGAAGGGATTCCAGAAAAGCCTGCTCTGTGTCAGGCACCAATTCATCATCCTGCTCCAAAGTGAGCCAAATTTGAGTGATCTCTCTCTTCTGTTGGGTCGAAAGCGACGGGATGGCCTGCGGGTAGACCTCATCATCAGCCAGCCAGTGAATGTTGTCCACGCAGAGGATGGATTGATAGTGTCCATTCTGATGATCCACTCCTTGGTGAAGTACCAGCCCAATCACCCTGTAGGTGGCCATGTGAACATGTTGTCCATCCTCGGAAAAAGGGAGTCGGACTGTGGTGTCAATCTCAATCTCCCTGTGGTGTTTGGTCCAAAAGCCATTGATGAAGGCAGTCCTTTGTATGTGGATGACCAAGCCCCCAGGTGATCCATACAAGAACTGCCCCCGTCCCTCGTCGGCCCACTGATTGATCAAGGTGTCCAATGTGATGACCTCATCGCCCTCAGGGCACAACAAATTCAGGGGAAATTGTTCTCGCTCTTCAAGTTGATCATGAGTGTTTCGATGAAAGAAACGACCACCGAAATGTGTTGTCCCTGAATATTGCCATAAGTGGTGCACAAAGTCTGCTGCATCCGCTTGTTCTTCATGAGCAAAGAGGGACCATATGTGGTTCATCTCCGGAAGCTGGGTGAGGAGTTGAGGCTCAGCTCCTGTGAGATACTGCCGAACTGCGACCTGTGTGTGACCCCAGGCCTGATTTGCATCTTCCGCAAAGGCCCCAGCCCAGCACCAACATCTCCATGGAGCATTGCCGAAGCACAGGTTCTTGCTGTTTTGAAGGATGCTGGTGAGTCCTTGCGAGATGACGTAGATGTTGGCGGCCATCGGTTCCACTTCTCCAGGAAGGCTGAGGTGACGATGAACCAAGTTCTGCATTCTTTTTAGGTCCACCAGGAGCTGTTGTCCTTGATGTACCGTGGCCTGAGAGGCGTAATGACGACAGGATCTGAGAAGATCCTTCTGGCATAGTTCAAAAAGGGTGCGTTGCTCCAAGGTGAGCCTTGACTCGTCAATGTCCATGGTCAGGACTCTTGCCAATGCCTGAACGGTCGAGGTCCCGAAAGAAGCAGGCTTCTCACGAAGCTGCTCTGATGTAGGAGAGCTCGGTGCCTCTACGTTCTCAGCTTTGGCCTGTCCTTCGACAGGAGGAGAAAGGGCTCCTCCCTTTACTTTGAAAGATGGTCGATGCGGTCCATACCCCACCGCGTCAAAAACCCGGCCCTGTTTTGAGCCTGAGTGTTGCAAAAGCACATAGGGTGATTGCATTCCCCTGCAAAAACCATGTGTGTGTCCCGATTCATGTCTCTCTGAACATGAAGTGAGTCCCAAGTTCAAGTGCATATGACTGCCAGGATGACCACAAGCCAAAGGGTTACCCACACGAAGTGTCATTTGGCAAAGTGCGACGACGTTTGGCTTCATCATCAGAAATTTCAACTTCTGACGGCGGTCGCTTGAGCATCAACTGCAACTGCTCTTTTTGCTCTGGCGTGAGAGAGACACCGAGGGTGGTGATGAAACCGGCTACTGCGTCTGGCACAGTGTCCTTCATCTCGGAGTCCAGTGCGTAGCTGCCCGGAGGATGCTCTTCCTTGACTTTCGTCATGTAGGCTGCACTTGTGGCATTAAGGGATGCCTGTTCCTGCTCAAGCTTCTGTTGTAGTTGTTTCATCTCTTCCAGCAGTTCTTGATAGTGCTTCTTGGTGCTGTCGATCTTCTGCTGCAAGATTTGTTTGCGATGTGAGATGTCCCGGAGATTGGTGACTTGCTGCTTCAACTGCACTGCCATGTCTTTCTCGGTAGGAGGCTGAGGCTTGGTGATTTTCTCCACCAATTCTTTGACAGGAGCTGGCAGGTTGGCCAAATTCTCCTTGAGGACGTCTGTGAGGTCTGGTTCAACCTGCTTTGGAACCGGGTTGATGCCCATCTCCATGAGCTTGGTCTTCAAGGCTTCATCAAGGCTTCATCCAGACCTTCCCAGGCTGGGGCAAGTATGTCAGAGGCTGCTTTCTGAAACTTGCCTTGCTTGCCCGTCTTTGGTTTGCTCAGGCCTGGCGGAGGAGTAGGAGATCTTGCTTTGTAGGCGTTCCACCTGGTCAAATGTTTGACCTGCTTGGCTTTGGAAACAAACCCATGAGTGGGCTTCTGCCAAGCATTGCCACAAAGTCGACACGTGAAGCCTGCTTGAATCCGATCCTCCCATATCCAGTTCCTGCATCCGGTGCTCGAGCATGTTTGGTATGCTCGGCCCCACTGCATGTTGATGCCGTGCTCTGCGACAGACACGAGGAAGGGGAGGTCGCAAAGGATGAAAGAAGCGCCAGTGCCGTGGTCGTCGTCCAGGAGGGTGGCTGGCGGCTTGAGCAGAAATGGCTTGAGCCATTTGACGTACATATATGTACATGTGTATTATATATATATAGCCATCATTGGTTCGGGCGGCAAACTTTGGTTGACATATTGCTGTTGAATGTTTGCTCACCCTTCCACACAGGAAAAATCAGTTGATTTTAGTAATAGTTCCTGTGAGGTCCGAAGATCAAGTAGCTCGGATCTTTTCTGGAGCCACATGATCCAAGCGGTTCATTGTGATAGACGCATCCTTCAGGGTCGATTGACCCAACTTGTAGCAAATGGGCCCATGACATGCTGCAAGGTTGGATATATGATGACACTGTGCAGATGACACTGGAATCCAGCCTGGAAGTTGGTGGAACACTAGAAAAACTGGCCCTGCAATGCCTTTTATGTTAAATAATGAGGGGTAATAAAGAAAAGATTGTTCTCACCTGCTGCGACAGATGGTGATAATGATAGGTCTTCGCCATTCTTTGCGCACCTCAACTCACCAACATGAATGGCTGGAAAAAGAAATCCCTCTAGATTTCTGTCATCAAAGTGCTTTTGTCCCATTGCAGTGAGTGAATGACAACCGACTCTGCCAGCAGGCGGCTTCGGGCTGGCCTGCGAAGGAAAATATTGCCAGGGTCCCAAAAAAGATGAAAGGAGTGTGTCTCGAAGGGTCCCTTTTGTGAGAGGGATTCCAAACCGACTTCAACCCTAAATCTTGGGACGTTCAAATGTATTCAATACGTATACATGCACCCACAACGTTTTATAAAACTACAGTATAGCATAACTCTATAGATCGAGTCATGTTTGGTATGTTTCTTGTATGAACATGCAAAAAAGTTGCACCAAGACAATTGATTGGTCTATGCTGCCTGCAATTAAGTGAAATTGAATCAACTCATTGGTCACCGATCAATCGCCCAAAAAGTCTCAGATTCAGCTCTCCACCTTAGTGGGTGTTTCTACGACATAGTTCGTACAGGAATGATCATCTCCCAAGAAGAATATCCCGTGATCCAGTTCCATAAGATCAAAGGGACTTGTTTGTGCTTGAACTACCTCCAAGGCGGAGCAAAGGTCGCCGTGAAGGTGCCCAGGAAGAGCTTTAGCGTGGAAGAAGGCCACATGGCTGCCGGATCGGTACATGATTTTCATAAGCAACCATTTCAGCAGAACTGCTTGGTGGATTGGATTGAACACCAGTGACACATGTGGGTGTGGGTTCCTACCCTGGGTTTCAGGCGTCCGACGAATAGAAGAAATGAAGACACTGTTTTGGATATCTTCACAATCTGGATGGCGGCCCTCGGTCGGCCGTGAGGTCCTTTCCACAAATATTGCAAAACAACAGCGAGCTAGTCCCATGAGACTCGTGCAAAGTCCCATGTCAACGGTGGAGGTGGCTGTGCTTGTGGAAGCGCAGGCTTACCATTCATGAGATCGATGTGGAATCATAGAAAACGCATCAAGCAAAGTTTGTAGTTGCAAAGAAACTGACTATGTTAGTTGTGTTAGTTGTGCTCACGGAAGAAAACAACACGCAGAAGTGTTTGCAAAACATCAACCCGGCAAACCATATTCAACTGGTAAAGATGGTTAAAGAAACAAATGAACCACCGATACAACACCTGAGAAGATTCACATGTGGTCGACTGAACCCGTATTGACTGCCAGGGCAAGAAGCCACCGCCGCGATATCCATGCTCATGGACTACTTGCAGGTCATGTGAGGGGATTGTGTCGATAAAGCCCTGCGTCTCCGGGGCGGGCAAGAACTTCACCAAGCCATGGACCTTTGCTTGGAGGGATAGGGATGTCCCTCTTTCTTGATTCCAGCGAATCCTTGGTTTGAAGCATGTTTCAAGGACACGTCGTGCGGAGTTTGGTGAAGCTAAGCGAACCATTCTGGGGATGTTGCTATTCCTGACGCCTCCGAAGCACCTGTAAGTACTGGTATTCTGAAAGGTAAATCAGTGTTGAAGAAATCCAGAAAGCCCAGATGGACAACGATGTACAGCTGTTTGTTTGGTGTTCGGTGTTCTGTGTATTTCTGTGTGGGTTTCTTTCTATTTATTATTTGTTTATGTTGTTTATGGAGCCAACCAAGTCAACTAAGCCTCAGTTGGTGACCTGCAGAGCCTCTGTAGAGCCTGTAGAGTTGGGTCACGAGGTTGATATTGACCACGCCACACGACCGACCTCGCCGCTGCAGGAGCTGCGGCTCCTGCGGATCGCCCGACATCCGAACATCGCCGCTGGGCGAATCGGACGGCGGGTTTCGGATGGCCTTGAAGGCCCAGGTGAATGAGTTTGTGACTCTATACCTGCATGGAGCTCCCCACAACATAATCCATTGGCAAGATGAATATACATAATGACAAGTAAGCCAGCCATTTCACGAGAGAATAACGAAACACTATGCATTCGCCTCAATCATGCGAAGAAATGGTGCTCTTTCTTTGCCGAGAAATGAATACCAAAGGAATACCCATTGGACGCCTCGTCGGAGCTGTATTTCTGTTCGTCCGCTCCAGTCAGCCATACTTCAGGCAGACAAAAGTTTTCGCTTGTTAGCCTTCTTACAAAACACTCTGAGATCAGCGGCGGATCGAATTAACAAGTCCAATTTCCGTGGCAGGTGTGGGACGGTCAATTATCACACCCTTTTAAATCTATAACAATAAAGGCTTTCCGGGGTGACAAATGACCGCCCACACCTTCCCTTGTCTCAT